AGTAGTAGTGCTTGCCAATCCTGGCCCGCTCAGGCTCAGTGAGGCCTGGCTGGCCTTATAGACGTGAGCTAGGGAATCACCAGGGGCAGATGTCTGAGCCTGCGTGTGCTGAGATCCTGGTGGCGGGGGAATGAGGAGAGAATATGTCACCTAGACAAGAGTTATTTCCCTTTCTTAGGCAGCCTGATATTTTCCAGAGCTTTTGCAAAGTCTCCCTATTCCACCCTTCCACTGGGCACAGAGCTCAGAACTTGGCCTTGAGTCCGGTTGTGGAAATCAGTAGGTCTAGCTCCAATACAGCCTCCTGGGCTTCGGGCAAACAAACCACTTTTAATAGTAGGTCTTGGGAAAGTACTAAAAATAGAACAGGGAAGCAGCATCCTCCAGAGCAGAATCAACAGAGGCAAGTGGAGAGGAGGAGGGAGGAGTCTCACCACACAGATAAGTTACGACACACACGCAGGTTGTGAAGCAAAGAAATCGAGGTCCATGTCCTAAGAAGTGCAATGAGAGACTGCAATAAAACGCAAGAGGGGAGAACGTTGACAATTCCTAAATGGTGTTGGATGACAATCTATTTCCAAAGCTAGCTGCTAAGCTAAGAGGTTCTGCTTCCTGCATGGTCACTGACAAATAGCAAACGAATCTGGCTACATGGCACCGGTTGGAATTTCACTCTGTGTGTGGTGCTCACCTTGCCTTTCTGGGTGGTTATCTCTAAAGAACGTGGACAAAGTTTGGACCTGCCATTCTGTCATCTTCCACCTCCTCCCTCCTCCCCCACGATTTCTGAGTACTGTGTCAAGAACTTTGGCCAGAAGGAAGCCCTTCCCTTGGGGTTTTGAGGAGGTAAATAGATTCCCATCTCTTTGCCTTTCCTTTTGGCTACCGTGTTGAAATAAGTTAAACCTTGTTTTCTGTTTCTCTTTTACCCTGTTCTGGCTTTGGAGGCATGGTTTTAGATGTCTTTCTCTTCGGACATGAAAATACTCTCTCCGGGAAGCTGTCAGGAATCTGTTCAGTAAAACCTGATGAAATAATGCAGCTTTCAAATGCCAGAGGAGGGGCAGTGTCCTTACGCTCTCCGCACGGAAAGAGGGGGAGAAAATAAGGGGTCATTTATGGCGCAAACAGTCAACAGTGGTGGGAGAAGAGCTGAATGTTCTCACTTTCCATGAAAGAGACACTTGCAGCTTCATAAAGCCGAGACCAAGGGAAGAGTGAGTAAAATAGCAGGGATTGCCTTTTTTTCTCACGCTGGCCAGGAGGAGGCACATGACTGATGGCATATCCTTTTGAAGAAATGTTCCACTTATGGCAATGTAGAAAGAAGAAAAACCAGTGCCTAGAATTGTATCATTGATATTAAAGAAGGAAAAAAGAGGGGAAGTATTTAAATAGGTAGGAGTGAAACCATGTGGGGGCGTCTGAGTGGCTCAGTCGGTCAAGCACCAACTCTTGGTTTTGGCTTGGGTCGTGATCTCACTCACATTTCTTGAGTTCGGGCCCTGTGTTGGGCTCTGTGTTGATGGCACAAGGAGCCTGCTTGGGATTCTCTCTTTCTCTCTCTCTCTCTCTCTCTCTCTCCCCCCCGGTCACATTCTCTCTCTCTCTCTCAAAATAAACAAGTAAACATTAAAAAAAAAAGAGTGAAACCATGTAATCTTCCCATCTCAAGCTTTCCCACCATGTCCTCCCTCCCTCCCTCCCTCTCTTTCTTCTTACAAATATTTATTGAAGCCTCACGGTGTGCCAGGCTCTGGGCTAAGTCTGACAAAATACGACACAACAGGTTTTTTCCCTTTTCTCCCTTTGGTTTACGTGATGAACTGAATGTTTGTGTCCCCGCTCATTGATGGGATGAAATCTAACACCCAAGATGGGGTCTTTGAGAGACGATTAGACCATGATGACTGGGTCAGTGCCCTTATAAAAAGGGATGGAAGAGGGCTCCCCGGTGGTTTCCAATATATGAGGACACAGCCAAAAGAAGGTGCTCTATGAACCAGGAAGCAGGCTCTTGCCAGACACCAGATCTGCGGGCACCTGGGTCTCGGGCTTCCCGGCCTCCAGAACTGCAAGAGAGAAATGCTTGTTGTTGATATGTCACCACTGCTGTGGTATTCTCTTAGAGCAGCCCGAACAGACTGAGACAGATTCCAATGAAGCTTATTATTTTTTAAGTGTATGTATTTATTGAGAAACAGGAAGAGAGCACAAGTGGGGGAGCAACAGAGAGACAGGGAGAGAGGGAGAAGCCCAAGCAGGCTCTGCACTGTCGGCGCTGAGACTGATGCAGGGCTTGAACTCAAAAGACTGTGAGATCCTCACCTGAGCGGACATCCAGAGTCCGGCGCTCACCTGACTGAGCCACCCAGGTGCCCTTGAACTTCAGATATTCATTATTGTGTCTTAGATACGTACTTTTAAAATCAGCCAAGATTGGTGTTTCCAAATAACAGAGATGGGTGCTACTTTGCAATTCACAGCCCAAGGGCTGGACCTTGTGGTCCTGACTCTCTGTCACCATCTAGAGGCAATTTGTACATATTGCAGGGCTAGTTCTTGGAATATTGAGTGCATAAAATCCTCTCAGAAGGTATATATGGCTGGCTTTGCAGTGTTTATATATTGGCCCTGCAGAAGAAATTGGATCCAGTCATCTGAAAATGGATGGGACTGGACATTATGATCTCCTGAGCTATGAGTATGTGAGAAATGGGTCTTGGTTTCTGTATCAAACCGTGGAGGGCTGGGATTTACCCAGGGCAAAGGTTTACTAGGGTATGGGAGAAGAGGGATGAGCCATTTATATCAGGTTCAAGAGGAGACCTCCACACCCTTGGTGTCGAGTTCTTTTCTTACTAAAGTGCTTAAGTCACGTGTGTTAGAGTCACCCACAGGTGCTTGCCACAGATGCATATGTGAGCCCTACATCAAATCTCCTGGCTCAGAATTTCCATGGCACATGGCCTGGGAATCTGCATAGGAAGACAGCATCACAGGTGACTGTCATGCACATTCAAATTTGACATCGGATGTATGAAGGAACAGAAGTACAGTGTATCCTCTGTTCTCCCTTTTAGAGCCCATGTATAAAGTGCTTAGAAAAACAGAGTCAATCCTGGAGATACCCTTCTGATGCATTGTGTGTATTCCTATTCCGCTGATTATAAGATCCAGGCCACGAGAGCTTAAACAGATCACGCGGGGGAACCCAGCTGGTTTGTTCCATCTGGATTTCCTCCCCATGTGGCCTTTCTTCAGGGCCTTCCCTAGCAGAAGTGCTCTGGATCTGCAGCCCCCACCCACCTCCTCTCTGCTGCGACCGGTGAAACCGACCAGGCGTGTTGAGCTCTCACTCCTTGTAAGCTGTGATGCGGACCTCATCTTAGCCACCTCGGCACTCTTAGGGAGGAGCAGGGTCCACATCCGCCTCTCCTGCTACCATCCTGGTCCAAGAGGCCCGAGTTATTTACCTTAATTCTAGCAAGTTTGCCTGCCCCCCGGCCCTGCCTCAGCCCCTCCAATCCATATCCACACAAAATCTGAGACTTTTTTTTTTTTTAAGTTTATTTATTTTGAGACAGAGAGAGAGAGAGAGAGAGAGCACGAACGAGCAGAGGAGGGGCAC